AGGCGGCCAATGCATCCAACACGGTGGCTCTCTACAAACTCGTTCGCAAACTGGCTCCCAAGTCTCGACGTCAACAAGTGCAAATACGGGATGCAGAAGGAATGATTATTTCAGAACTCGACGAAGAAGAACATCTTCGGAAGCACTTTGAGGGAGTATGGCATCCTCCACTACAGTGGGAATCACCCCCGTTGTGCACCGCTGCGGTTCTACCACGTGATGAGTCAACTTTCAGTAAAACGGCGAACGAAATCCAACAGGCCGTATGTGCGATTCGCCCACGCAAAGCGGTCAGCCCACACCTTCCTCCTGCACCTTTCTGGAAAATAGCTGCACCAGCACTTGGACAGTGGCTAGCCGGACAAAAAGGCATCGAGATGGCGGACATTCGATACCCTACATCATGGCTTATGACCTCCGTGGCCCTACTTCAGAAACCTGGCAAGCCAGTAGGCCCCCTTACATCTCTACGTCCCATTGGCTTACAAGACCCACTCTCCAAAGCGTACACGTCGATTCTGGCCCAGCACTTCAAACCCTATGCTTTGAGATACTTGCGCAGGATCCCGCAATACGCATATCTCCCAGGCCGTGATGTTATGTGTGCATTGATGCGTGCCGTGCAACACTGTCGATCAGTTCGTACCACCATACAAGGTCAAGCCTACAACCTGCATCATCTCAGACAAGGGACGAGCACGACAGATTTTCGAGCAGGCCTCCAGGTATCCCTGGACTTATCTCAAGCCTTTGACACAGGCCCATGGTCCTTGGTTATGGAAGCCGTTCGTCGAACCGGTGCTCCTGACGGCCTATGCTCTGCCATTGCTCAATGGATCCAGGGTACGGTATACGAACTCACATACAAACGCACCCGACTCCTAGTTAATGCAGGACGGGGCGTTCGCCAGGGCTGCTGCCTCTCGCCGATTGTATGGTCGGTATTCACTGGACTCCTCTATCAGGAATTTGAGGCTATTGGTGGCTTGCACTCTCCCACCGGAATGCTGTCCATGTTCGCTGACGACAAACACATATGCTGGGAGCTGACCTCACCGACTGATCTTCATGATGCCCTTCAATCTCTGGGTAAGCTCCTTCAGCTGCTTCGTAAATTTGGCTTACAGGTCAATGCCAACAAATCCAAGGCCATATTGCATGTGCAGGGAAAAGGCTCCGAACGGATCAAGCGCACCTGCATTGAACTTGTCAAGGACGAAAAACATCTGAAGGTACCGATCCGCGAAGAGAACACTATGACAGAGGAGCTTATCCCACTGGTATCTCAGCTTCACTACATGGGTATAGTGTTGTCGTACACGAGCTTCGAAGAACAAACCATGCGCCACCGTATCGCGGTTGGAAGGGCGAACTACGATCGGCTGCGAAAATTGGTCAACGCCCGAAAGATCCTTCGGCTACATCATCGAATACGACTATGGCGCTGTGCTATTCTTCCAGCGATGACGTACGGATTACTGAGTACGGGCCTAACCAAAACATCAGCGGACATGTTTGCGATTGCATGGATCAAACAGATTCGGGCCATATCCAATTCACCAGTTCATCTTACGGGAGAACGATCGTTGGATCTATTACAGAGAGTGGGCCTCCCAGAGCCACTTCAGCACTTGCATAAGCTGGCATCAAGTCGACTTCTCAATCTTCAACAACTGTACAGACAGATTGAGCCAGATGATATCATGAAAGACCCAATGATTGAGGCCATTTTGCATGACCGGATTATGGAGTTCCAACAGCTCGCCCTGGAGGCTACGTACCACCGAAAACACGACACCACTCTAGTGCACATCCCGTTGCAGGAAGGTTTCTCATGTCCAGAATGTGGCATATACTTTAATACTCAGGCAGCCATGCGACAGCACGTCACAAAAAAACACTCGACTGACCATGAGCGCGATGCCACTACGGGGTCTTTTGCTGATATCAATGCAGACATACGCCGATATGGGGTTGATGGCATGCCGCAATGCTGTTTTTGCTTGAACAAGTTCAACACCTGGAGTAGCTTGGGACGCCACATTAAACTCAATCGATGCACCGCTCCCACAGGCTCAACGGTAGCCCTCCCTCCTGCCCTGCCCAACCACGGTGCCACTGAGGTCCGAGACAAAATTCCAGTCGCGTCGGATTATGACTTTCAGCTATCATTTCGCAAAGGTGGACTGAGCTTTCTCTGCAGGCGCAAGGACGTGCTTCAGGAGCTTGAACATCACTGCGCGGTCTGCAGGCAATGGCTGGTTAACAAGCACGATTTTGGATCCCACTTTGTCAAATCCCATCAGGACCTCTGGAAAAAGTACGGCACGCGGGCCACCAAGCTGGTAGTTCCTTTTGTACTTTCAGCTCCGTGTATATATTGCGGTGGAGTGGCCAGCATGCATACTAAACACAAGTGCCCGACTCTACTGCAGGTCTACTTTTCGAACCTGATCTTTCATGACCGAGCTACAATTTCAGCCCCCGACCAGCAGCGAACTGTCCACCTACTCCAAAGCGTTCCAGGGTCTCGGAGCCAGGATGATTCAGCAATCCGACCAGAGTCCCCCATCGATGGCAACAGGGATGGAGATGGAACCAATGGCAGGCTCCAAAAGAAAGGAGGTGGCGCAGGAGACGGCGCCAATGCTGGTTACGGAAGCAGCGTCGAAGCTTCAGAAGAAGGGACCTGGAAGGGGCAAGGGCAAGGCCAAGACCAATGCCGGAACCTCCCAGTCATCGCAATCTCAGCTCACCAATCTGGTGCACACCATCGCGAGACTATCGATTCGACACGAAGATGCATTGGCGGCGCAAAGACTCAATCAAGCCTACGTGATGTTTTTGCAAATCAAATCCGCAGGGGAGCTCCAGTCGCTCGTATCCCCCCTGTACACGGCGTCACAGACGTTCGACACAGAGAAGGAGATGGGCAAAGCCAAGTATCCGAAACGGGTGATCCTGGTCAGCCTAGTGCTTCGGGAGCTGCTATCTCGCGTGGACATCCTGATGAAGAACGACGACGCGATGCGGTCCGCGGTGCAGGCACAGTTGCTGGTCAAGGACGAGGACGACGATCCGTGTTGGCCCTACTTGCAATGGGATCCCGACAGTCGCCAGGAACTACGCAACCAGGATCGGGAGCCCATGAAGCTGGAGCGGTGGCAACGCAAAATGCAGAGTGTGATAGGCCTTCTGACGGGGGAGACGGTTCTACGATGTCAGCCCAGCCGGAAGCTGACGGCCAACATGGAGGGCGACCAGGTGGCTCTGTTCCTCGAGATCGGCACCGTGGGCGAAGCGGAGCAAGACCTTCACCGCCATCTTCGGGACATGTGCGACCTCTCGGTGTGGAAGATGGTACTGGGACGGTTCCGACGGGATCGTCTTCAGCGGAACCCCCTGGCGAACCGGGTCATGGAGCTTCTCCCGGACAACGCCTGATGACTGCAGCTGCCCTCCCAATTCTGCAAAACACTGGCAATACATGCTATCAGAATGCACTACTTCTGTGTATATGGTGGCTCAGCCGGCATTTTCATGAATCGATGGGAGGACTCCTGCTTACAGTTCAGCAGCGGGTTGCAGAGACAAATGGCAGGCTGTGTGATATAGAGGAATGGTCAAGAATCTTGGCCATATGGGGCAGACCGGGTACACAACAGGATGTGGTTGAATTTTTGATGTTCCTCCTGGAATATGTCACGATTCCTGGATTGGGAGGGTCAATTCATTCATACGACCCGACCTCCGCTCTGGTGGATGTGATTGATCTAACCTCAGCGCCAATTATACTTCACATTGGTCGACACCGAAGCCTTCCCGCCATGATACAGGAATGGCATCAGACAACAGAAGGGCTGCAATTTCTGATACATCCGCCAAGGATTCTTTTTCTACAGGTCATGCGTTTCTCCCTTCAGCATGGCCGGATCCGGAAGAACAATGTTCGTCTCAAGATCCCCGACAGTCTTCTCATACCGACCTTGGTGGAAAATCGGAAAGCTCTGCGGTCCTATCATGTTGTATCCGGGGTATACCATCTGGGCAACAGTCCGCAATCTGGTCATTATCGAGCCTTCTTTCATGAGTTTCAATCCGGGTGCGATGGTGATATTCGCAGATATACTTCTGATGATGGTGTGAGCGTGGCTGAACTCTCCTCAAACGAGGCTGAGGTCCTAATGCGGAATTTTTATCTCCTTGCACTAGTGGGTGACTGATCCTTCTTCTTTTTGCTTTCTGACTTATACCATTCCACCTGCACTGTTTTTGTGGATACTCGCCCGCTGCACTCGATTACAGGTGATCTTTTGTCAAATCACAGATCGACGGAAGGGCACGCTCGTAGGGTGCTGCTGTTGGGTATCGAGTTTGGTATCACGCTCATGCTGTTTGTCCTGGAACAAGCCCTTTCTGCAGCCAACTAGTAGCTCCAACAGCCACTTCAATCGATGCAGCAAAGCTCTCATGTTCACTGGATATCGAATCTATTCCTAACTATCTGGTTTATTGACTTCCCCAGCTGCATCATCTTCTCGCACGTAGTGTTTCAATCCCGGAGAGCTGGCCACGATGTTCAGCGAATTTGGCTTATCTATGTTGCTCTATCATCAGCACTGTTCTTTGTCGTGTTTCTGTAGTGCCTTTGCTGGGTCTTCGGACCGGAAGGCCAATCTCTCATAGGCATGTGCTGGGTCCTAGGACCGGCATGCCAGCCTCGTGGTTCACACTCTTGAGGCTTGCTTATGCAAGTGCAGCTACAAGCTGCCAGGCATCCCTATGCTGGCTCATTATCGCTACGCGGGTCCACCAGCGTCTGCATGTCTCTGCTATGCACTGACCCGTTGCGAATCAAAGTCAAAGTCAAAAAGTTGCCCCCTTCCTTTCCCGGTTTCTCTGTTCCGTTTCGGGGTTCGGGTCTTGGGTCTGTCGGAGTGTTTCGTAGTGGGTGTATTGGAAACAAGTTGTGAAAGTTGACTGGAACATCTTGGTAGCAGGTCCAGCAACTCAGGGCTCACGTCGCGGAGGCCGAGGCCAAGCTAGAGGCACCCTCCCGTGAGTCGTTGCAAAACTTCGTCTGCAGCTTGTTTACGTTGAAGGCCTGGGAAACAAAGGATGCTGCCACCAGTGTTGAGGTCCAAGCGCAAGCTTGTATGTGGCTAAGTGCTTGGAGTTTCGTGACAGCTGAGCTCCCTGATGTGGCCAGATTCAGCAGCTACGAGCTCGTGTTGCTGAAACAGAAGCCCAACTGGAGGTGTGGGCGGGAGATGGGTAGGAGCAGACAATGATTCCACGAACCAATGTTGTAGCAACTCGTTACCTTGAGATGTGAACAGCGAAGGGCCAAAAGCCGCATGACCAGAGTGAGGCAGGTGACGCACGGAACAGATTCCTTGCTCAACTTTCTCACGGCACGGCATGTTTGCATCGTTGTGCCAGTGCAGGTCTTGCATCTCAGAGCTCGTGCTGACGAGGCCGAGGCTCTTCTGAAGGCACTGGGGGAAAGTCTAAATGTCTGCAGCTTGCTGCCTTATTTGATCCTCTTTTGATATGCAACGCCTCCCACTCAAAGCATTTGGCAAGTCGTTTGCAACCTGGTCGGGCGCAAGCTGGATAGGGTCCCGCTCAGTTGCACCCCGCAAAAGTGACGTCCCATATCGGTTTCGAGCGTGCAGGCTCTGCAGCAAAGGGATCCGACGGCGCAAGCCGAGGTACTGTTGACGCTTGATGACTCTTCGTGTTGTTAATGGCAGTACCTCATCTGGCCACTTAAAGTATTCTTTCCTCGGTTCAATGATTGTGCAGGCTAACAGAGGTGATGCAGCACCGCAGGATCAAACAAGTGAGGTGCGCTGGGGCCGCGTCTCCATTGCTGTATGTGGATTCTATGGCGCAACCAGGGATGATGCGACAGGTCGAGCAACTCAAAGTGCGAGCCGCTCAAGCTGAAGAGAGATTGCAGGTCCGCCAAAGCATGAAGCTTCAAAGATCTGAGTAGTGGACATTAGCAGAGCCAGATGCAGGCTCTACAGCAAAAAGACGTGGACTCGAGCGCTGAGGCAGACCTGCAGGGTGCCACATGGCCTAGACACGATTCAAAGTGCAGCGCTGCCAGTTGCAGCAGCTCCGAGTACGTGCTGCTGAAGCAGAAGCCCAACTGGAGGTGACCTGATTTGAGGTTTCTCTAGCCAAAGCCTGGGCATCTGCTGTGCGAGGCAATGAAGCATGAGCAGCAGGCCAAGCAAGCTGAGCTGGAGGTGGGAAGTTTTCCGTGGCTTCCAGTGGCTTCCAGTGGCTTCCAGTGGCTTCCAGATTGCTGGAAGTCTATGGCATGTTCCATGCAGGCGTGGCAAAAGAAAGATGCTGCAACATCTGCAGAGGCAATTGCCGTCCCAAGTCCAGAACTGCCCATGCAGAGCATAGCAGCGCATAGAGTAACCGATGTAACCGTTGATAGATTGGAGTATTGGAGCTGTAGCCTTTGCCACAGATGTCAGGTTCAGCAGCTGAAAGCGCAGGCGGCTGAAGCTCAAGCCAAGCTGGAGGCACGTGATGAACAGATGAACAGCATGAAGTTCGATCGGCAAAGTCTCTGCGAGAGTCGAAGTTGCAGAGCACTATCGCAGATGTGTTCATGCACAGGCATCGCAGGCAACGCAAGGGGCGCAGCCACCCGAGGAGCCAAGTGCCGAGGCAGCTCGGGGGGAGGGAGAAAGGGAGGTCAGAGGAGCCTCAATGTAGCTTCAACTGGACCCTTTCGGGCGCTTGGCAGGTCCAGCTACTGAGAGTCCGTTGCGCCCAAGCTGAGGACAGATTGGAGGCATCTTTGGAGTATAGCGTGCTGTTGAAGATGTGTTGTACTAGGATGTAGAAGCGTGTGTTGGTTCTTCTATGCGTGTTGCAGGCTTTGCAGCAGAAAGATGCTTCCTCGAGTGCAGAGGTGCAACAAGAAATGTGATTCCAGCAAATAGCGGCACAGCTCCATCCGCACCAGGTAGTGCAGCTCAGAGCCCGACTTTCAGAGGCTGAGGCGCAACTGGAGGCTCGCTGCTGCACTTGTATGGCTCTGCCATCTTCAGCGTCCACGCATGTCGGCTTGGCCCGGCTTGGCTTGGCGGCTTTGCGTGCAAGGCTCTCCAGCGAAGTACAGCTCTACCAGAGCAGCATGCAGAGGTCGGCTTAGTTCGATTCATGTGCTTGTGCACTGCTGCGCGTTCGCTGAGCACGCATGTGTTAGTGCCTGGATGTGCCGTTTCCAAACCTTCAAAACCTCCATCTGTGATGTCTGTTGCAGAGAAGCTCATCTCCTTCCGGTCAGGACGCCCAAGCTGCCAAGGCAAGTCTTTTCTAGCTTTGTGGCTTTGTCTTCCCTTGTGAGCTCGCTCACGGCGCAGGCCTTGCGCGATGTCCGGATGCATGCTGAACAGCAGCTTGCATGGATCTTGCAGCGAATGGGCGTTACTCATCAAGCTGCCGCCCTTGCGTGTTTCACGGGCTCATCGCAAGACTCACAAGATACTTGTTTCATTGCAAGGCCACACCTTATGTGTGCTGCAGAACCATGGCTGTGTCTGGTTGCTTTGGCTGTGTACAGCTTGCTTGCCAGGCAGAGTTGCAGAAGGTTGGTCGTGCTCCCTGCGTGTGACTGCCGGTGCCTGTATTGCCTGTGACGATGCACAACCATCAGTTCATGCTACGCACCTCTCACGTCGGTGTGCTTTCTGCCAGCCTTTGAGGAGTGAGGTTTAGCTTTCATTTTTTGTGAAGTTTTTGGGGTTTTGGTTGATTGCCTTGTGGTTTTCGGAACATGGCCTCCTGGTCCTGCCTGTCCTCTTCGTCTGCTTGGACTTCGTTTTTGTGCATTTTGTACGTTTTTTTCGGTTAATTCTTTGGGATTTCAAGCTTCCACAGGCCTCTCAGCGGTACCTCGTATCGAGAACAGACACAATGGGGCTTCAACACGATTAACGATTAATATGCTTTGAAGCACGTTTGCACTTGCACGGCTTCGAAAAAAGCAGGGGGGGGGCACCCCCCCCCCCCCCCCCCATTTGCAATCAGAATACTGGGATGCTGGGTTTTGAAGGTTTTGAAAAGACTCATATGCCGTGAAGCGAGAATGCACGGCTCAAAAAAGGAGGGAGGTTTCGGGGGGGGGGGGGAGCATCCCCGCCCCCACCCCCATTTGCAAGCACAATGCTCGCGTGATGGGCTTCTAAACGATTCATATGCTTTGCAGCAGGCATGCACGGCTGAATATATTGTTTCTTTCGTCCGTTCTGTTTTTCTTTCTTCCTTTCATTCTTTTTGTCTTTGTCTCTTTGTTTCTTTCTTTCTTTCATTCATTCTTTCCTTCTGGCTTTCTTTCTTTCTTTCTTTATCTGTCCTTCTTGATTCGTCCTTTCTTTCTTTCTCTCTTGATTTTTTCCTTCATTATTTCTTCGTGTATTCCTTTATTTCTTTATATCTTTCTTTCATTCATGCTTGCTTTCTGGAAGTGTCCCTAGCACCCAACCAAAAACCAGAAAAAAACCCGCACAAATCCAGAAAAAACACACAAAACCAAAACGGTACCTAGCCCTCGACATGATGCAGAGCGGCAGAGCGATGTTCATCCTTTTGGACTCTTGGACGCCAGATGAGGCCACAAGTTCATGCTCGGATCAGAGTGACCTCTGGCGCTCCGCTGATACTGCTTTTTTAGCCTCATAGTGTGAGTACTGAGTAGTACTATGTCAAGCTTAAAGCTCCTACAGCTGTCTTTTGTGTACTGCAAGCGTTGACCCTGTGTGTCAGCCTTGCCATGTGAATAAGCGTAGCGCCACATTTCACATTTGCCGTTTCACCCGTAGACCATCTGAGATCCCGGATAGTCCTCAAAGCACTTTGCCACGTTCCCCCAGCCACAGGCAAAGACATAATAGACGCCGCCTCGTCCACTGCACCAGCTTTCGACTTTGGTCCACGAATGGAGCAAGAGCTCACTCTGTGTGGAGTGCAGAAGGAAGTCACATCATTCTAATCTGCAGGAACATAATTTTCTGTTGAGCTGACTTGTGCCGTGGTGACATTGCCTGATACTGCACTTACCTCATTAGAAGCTTCTCACAAGCCCACAGCTTAGCCGGGAATGTGTTAACTTTGTCTTTGCTAGGGGCATGTGAGATGCACAGCTTCAGCCTGCAACCAGTGTCTTGAGGGGATTTCGAAGGCCAGTGCCAGCTGCCATGGCATGTATTGTTTTGTCTTTGGTGTGCCCAAAAGTGGCTGCTTGGAGCTACGTGCGCAGGCTTTCAAGTTAACGATGAACCGAGATTTTCAGCAACATCATGTGGGCCCCAATGCAGGGTGCTAACAAACATAGGCCGGGATGCAGAAAAAAGGAGTGTGTGCAACCAGTCCAACCAGTGCCACCTGCCTGTGGAGCAGGTTCGTTGATTGAAGCGGTTGAAGCCCGTAATTTTCAGGCTCCAAGAGGGCCTTCCGCCAGGGACAGACTTGCAAAACAGCCTTGAAGTCCAATCGCCTTCCGAAATGTCAGCCCACTCCTCTTGAGGAATTCGTAGCATCACTATTCCTTTTTTGTCGAGCTTTCGTTATATTTCAGGTGAGCAGCACCCACAAGACAGGTGACATGATCCGTAGCCACAGTTGTCATGGACACCACCATGCAAGCGGCTACTGACTTAGCCGCCCATCAGGTGACTGCAGTGACTGCAGATTCTTCAAGGCCTTGCGCAAGCCCTTGTATCCAGGTTGCGGAGCCTTCTGGAGAACCGCCTCCAGCGCTGAGCCCAGTCTATCTTCGCTTATGGGGCCCAATCCGTGGGCGAAGGAAAACTGAAGCTGGAAGATCTATGTGTATTTTGCTAGCCCCAAGCAAACCAAGAGCCTGTTGAAGTGTGGGCGTGGTTTGCGAACTTTCTGATGCGTGTCAAACTCGAACCTTCTGAGCAAGTGTGCAGTATGCAGGTACCGTATTTGTTTGGTTTTGTTTCCTGGAAAGAGGACGAGCGAATGAAAGAAGGCCAAGAAGAAAGCAATATATAGACTCGTTGAACGGAATAAAGAAAGAAGGAAGGAAAGAAAGAAAGCACATAAAGAAGTTCATAAATGATACAACAGACACAGCAAGCAAAAATATACATGTTGCTATCACTATGCAATTTCAGTAGCATGCAAGAACTGACTGAGACCGTTACAACGTTGGCAATCCAACTTTTCCATGCTTCTTTCCAAGTGCTTTGTCGGCCGATGCGTGAGTTGACATTCACAGATTGCAATGTTAGATCTGGAGCATGCCGTAGTGCAGCATGAGCGGAAAGCTTCGGTATTGAAGTTCAGGCGAAAGGGCCAAAATTGCTGCTGCGGACTGCAGCTGAGGACGGTCAAGTTGAGGGTGAGCAGGGGCAGGGCATTAGAGATGCACAGATTACGTGACCATGGCTGCGTCGCTAGGCATGTTTGCCGGCTGTACGGGCACAGGTGGATGTGTTGGCCCCACCAATTCGCTAGCAGAGCTGGAGTATAGGACGCACGCAACACTTTGCAATATCTAGCGATGACGACGGTGCGGCATCTCCCGCTCCTTGCAATGGACCGAGGCTCAAGAATTATTGCCGCAGCAAGCACTTGGATCCATATCGTTTTGTTGCGAGGCTGGTCGTGCATGTACTCGTAGCAGTCATATCAGTTTCATTCTCCCCAATGCCATTGATAGTCGTTCCCGAAATCCTGTACATTCCTACGCTTCATCGTCGTGGTGTCATGTCCTTCGTGCCTCTTATGTCCTGTGGAGGTTCTGAACCGCGTCCTTGGAAACTTGGAAGACGCAAGCGCCTTCGCCAAATTTCGGAAGCTCAAGGCCAGGGCAACACAAATCAAGGGCGGCTCAGGAAGACGGTAAGTGTAGTGTGGTGCAGCGTTGCCCAAACCACTCGGCCATGCTTTGGTTTAGAGTCTAAGTGTTCCACCCATCTCCCCTGTATCCCCTCGCGTTGTCATAGGACGGGGCTGTCGATACGGGCACCTGGGGCCAGGTTGCCGCGCTGCGGAAGAAGCTTGTGCGAAGGCTGTGACATATAGAGCTCATAGAGCTCCAATGCGCTGATGCACTCCAGTCACCAGTGCATACGAAATGCGAGGCCTGATCTTGCCGAAGCGATCCTGCTTAAGGCTGGCTTCCGTGAAGCCGGGCACTGAGCAAGAAGGTCCGGGAGGAAGAACATGGTAGCTGCGATAAAAACCTCGAGAAGCTGAGAGCCTTCAGCGGAGGCTGATGACTACCTGGAATGGGGACCTGAAAGCCCCGAGGTGCCTTGCGCTGGCTTGCTTCAGAACATGTCAGAACCTTGCTTCAGAAACCAAAAGAACTGTACTCTTTTCGGCCTCTAAGAGAATGATCGCGAACTGAAGCAAAGATCGTAGTTGCAAAGTGCAACAGGGGCTTGAAGAAGGCTCTTGAGATGTTTGCAGACAAGTCAGAAATCTAGTGTCACGTTAGATCACTTGTGCTTGCGGCACGGCAAGACTGGGGGAGCTTTGCAGCAAACCTTGGGGCTGGGAAGGCATCAATTTGGTATTTTTGAATCTTAAGAAGGCTTGGACTTCCGCATGCTGTGATGACCCAAGGACAGCAGTCCCTCTCGTAGCTTAGCAGTTGAGCATGGATGAGTCCTACCATTGCAGCCCCAGGGCCCACCGAAGATTGCAGGCTTTCGGCATGGTCTTAATATAGAGTGTTTCAAAGACATTGTCATTGTCTGCCATGGTATTCCATCTCAGCTTGGCATGGGGAATGGTATCTCGATTGAGCGACTTGGAGCTCACAAATCACATTTAGGGTTTAAACAAAGGTAGGATTTAGGGGCGTAGGGTTTAGGGGTAAGTAAGTTTAGGGTTTAGGGTTGTGCGGTCGGGGTCGAAAGGAGTTGATAAGGGGTTGCGAAGGGGTTTAGCGCTTTACGATATTGTCTCGCAGAAAGTTGTGCTTTCGGGTTTAGGGATTTGGGGTTGAGGAGTTCAGGGTGTGGGGATTTGGACGGATTGCATAGTGCATTCTGAGAGTGCTTCTTCCATGCTATCCCAGGGGCACAGCGTACCTGCATTGAGATCTGCTTGTGTTGAGTGATGCTTTGTCGAGCTGTGCATCATACTTAGTGGAAACAGTAGCCCAAGCCCCTACAAAAAGAATGGCAAGCATCACAGCTGTCGTTTTTTCGACGGACGGGTGGCCTTCGAAGATCAAGGGTTGAGGCTTGTCCGGCCAACGTCTCTTCGGGTGTGGAAATGCTCAGCCAATGTTGTTTGAATTTAGAGGGGCGTTGGAGCGGGTTGCGCAGCCAGCCAACGCCTTCAAGGTTGCCTGGGACATTTTCTTCAGGCTGTAGGCTCCGGGGTTGCAACCCCTTCTGGCATCTTTGCCTGATTAGTATGTGCCAGTGCGCCGCGTGGGCCTAGTCCGGTGTGGCCCACCCTGCAGTTTTATGCAGGCCTGGACAGTCCCAGCCGATCCATGTGACTCCTCGCGCTTTTATGAAAACACGATGGCTGCCGGACAAAATCGAGCCAACGATGCACATCACGTACGAGGAAATCGGCTGGCACATGTGCCATGTGCGGAAACTTGCTGTAGAACTGCATGCT